CTCTCTCTCTCTCTCTCTCTCTCTCTTTCTCTCTCTCGTTCTTTCTCTATTTCACACACACACATGCTGGTGGGGACTGGGCAACCGTATCCGCCGACCGCTCCTCCTCGAAGGCCAAAAAAAGTGGGTGGTTGGCGGGTGCTCTGGTGTCGTTTGCTTCTTCTTTCCTTTCAAACGTCTATCGTCCTTATCTCCCCTTCTCCTTTTTATGTTTGTTACTCTCTTGTAACAGCTCTAATCTTCTGGCGCTCATATGACCTTATGCAGCTGCGGGCGCCGTAAAACCTCTACTAAAACTAAAAAACGAAACACACACATACGCGCACACACACACACACACACACACACACACACACACACATACACTCACACACATCATACCCACACACCCAGTACCCCCTCCCTTTCTCTCTCTCATGTTAACAGAAATCGCTGGTTCAATGAAGCGTTGACCAACCGTTGTTTCTTAGCCTTTGAACAAGATTCAGTAATATTTGTGCCTTGATATCGTTGATCCCCTTCGCATAGTGCAAACCATCATAGCTTACTACGCCATTGGTCAAATGATATGTGTCCATGACAGGGATGTTGTAACCTTTCAAAATTCTCTTCATATCTTTAATGAAAGCGAGGACAGCACTTCTGTCTTGATTTTTGTGAAAGGGCGACTTCAGTAGACCCGGGACGTGAGGGGTGGACCAGACAATCTTAGGCCATTGGTTCTTTCCAACAATCCTCATCATCGGCTTCACGACCTGAAAACGAAAGTCAGCGTTGATCTATGCAGAACAAGTCCTATCACGAACATTGCTGTGATTATTTTCTTAGTGTTCACGCCATCCTAACATAAACATAAAACAGATCGCTTTGAAATGGAGAGCTTTGTCTTCCGATATATTAATAATAATAGCCGTTCTGAAGCGAAATGTTTCTGGAAGTACGCCACTTTATTTGGACCCCTCTCAGACTCAAAACTTAAACTTCAGCATGGCATGTCAAGTTCTCTTTAGCAACTGGCCTCAAATATTAGCAAACAGTGAACGAATTCAGTATTCCAAAACAAGCAATAAAACATTGAACAATCTATAATATTGCAGTATGACAAAGTCCAAACTTTTCTGAATCGTACAAATCGTTCAAAAACAAAAATCCCAAATAAGCTAAAAACTCCATCGTCACATGATTGTCATTATCTCAAACAGACATATCTCTTCCCGTTAACTACGTTCTTTTGCTGCCTGTTCCCATGTTCTGAAGTGCTCCTGGATCGGATAAACATATCCAGACCATAATACCCACTTCCATTTGCTAACGTATTTTCTCTTGGTATCCTCCCATCTTCGCTGTGGCCAAGAGGTCCCAACCATTTAATTGAACCAGCTGCTGTGAAAAATTGATACCTTCCAAATACCCCAGTGTTGGTAAGCTTGTCTTGCTATATTATTCTAAGAATCTTTCGGAGTCACCTCACGGGACAGTTATTAAACTCTTTGCTTACACGAATAGATTGTCCAGGTATCATTCATTGGGTTTTATTTCCTAAAGCAGTAGAAAGGACCCTAGAACAACAGCTGAAAACACACATTAGTTCACCAAACTCTTGAGGAGCTTTCACTTTTCTCTAAAGAAAAACATAAAACTGGTAATGTAGAACCAGGTATATATAGATCTATCTCCATGCGGTAATTTGCTCTTCTTTGAGATGGATCATTCGTAAGGTGAAAAGTGAGGGATAAATTGACTACACAGTCTTAAATGTTCGGAAGGATCGATCTTCACCAAATTTCACTAGCCAAAGAATAAGCAAACTCTTTCCCGCTCTCTTTCTCTCTTTCTCTCTCTCTCTCTCTCTCTCTCTCTCTC